GCACTTGCGGTTGACGTGCTGCTCGCACATGCGGACCCAGACGGCGTCGTCGTCGGCCAGCAGGCGCCAGCGCTGGCTGACCTGGGCGGCCTTGGTGAGGCTGACGGTGTCGAGATAACAGAGAACCTTTTGGGCAATCTCAACGGGCAGGGCGGCGATAAAGTCAATCTTGAGGGCCTCGGTGACCTCGCGCGAGACGAGCGAGAGTTGGGGGAAGCACAGCTGGGCGAGTACGCCCTGCAGCATGAGCTCGCGGTGGCGCGAGGGGGCGGCGGAGAAGAGGGACCAGACGTGGGTGATGGCCTGCTGGTCGGCCGAGGTGAGCTTGTCGAGCTCGCGCTGGATCATGACCATCTTGGCCTCGTCGGCGGAGCGGCGGCATTTGGAGTCGGGGCGGTGGCGGTAGCAGTATTTTGTGTTGGGGTCCTTCTCGCGGGCGGTCTGCTCGTTGCTCGACTTGCCGACGGGGGCGTACAGGCTGGGGATGTGCTCCTTGAGGAACGGGGCGACGGTCTTGCCGATCAGCGACGACGACATGTTGGTCATGCTGCCGCGCGGGCGCAGGCGATCGCGGTCCTCGTCCTCGGGGCGCAGACGGTCACAGTTCTTGGCCTTGTCGACGACGGTTACGGAGGGTGTGGGGGTGTCGTCGACGGCGGCAGGTGGTCGGCCAAAGAGGGAGAGCCTCTTATGTCGGGACGTTGTTGTGGTCAGGGGCGGCTCTGGCTGGTGGGCGTCATCGGCCGGGCGATCGATGTCATCTTGGCTCGGCAGCGGCGGATGGCCAGGGAGGGCTGTGGAAGAAGATTGGAAACGGTCCATGGGGGATCCGGGGGGGTCAAACGCAAGCAGATGGGCGTCTTGCGTCGGTGCCAGTCGGGCAGCCCATGCAAGCATTGGGGCGGACGCTCGGTTGGCAGTTCGGGCCCAGGCCGGGTCGATTGCGTGCTGGCCTCGGATGGTAGGCGAGCGAGCGGTCGGTCGGCCTGGGGACCTTGGGGGGGCGTGTGAGCCTGGGGAGGCCTGGCTGGAGCGGTGCTGTCGTGCTAGGGGGGGCCGAAGGGGCGATGCTCGGGGCGGTCAAGCAGGCCGGCGGGTAAGATGAGACAGAGAGGCAGACGGCACGGCGGCACGCAATGGGCGGCGGCAGGTTCGCAATCGGGGAGCCGTACGACGCAGGGTTGATGGTCGGGGGGATGTAAGGGGTCTGGGGTGTGGACTGCAGGGAGCCGCAGGATCGGATTGATGGGTCGTCTGCGAGGGCGGAGATGTGTTCGTTCGTGTCGGCCGTGGGTCGGGGAGATTTGTGGTGTTTGGTGTCGTGATGTGGTGCCGCGAGGTGTCGAGGCGAGTCGAGGTGGATGATGACTGTCTTTGAGGCTTGTCGTTGGCCTGGAGCTAGTGATGGCCGAATTCGAGGTCCCCCAGGTTGCGAGTGATCCACTGTCCCCCTCAAAGTGTCCTTGGCAGTGCCCGGCGGCGACCTTTTGTCAGTTCCTGGCTGGGCTGGTCGTTGGTGACCTGCTGGGGACGTGCTGGAGCCGTGCGGGCCGGTTTGCAGTGCTGTGGTGGGCTGTGGCCGCTGCGACGTGTGCAAAGACGCAGGCAAAATGGCGACATCGGGATGCATGGCCCATCCATGGGTGGACCCGCTTTTTCCTGCTTTTGCTGCTTTGCGCCAGGAATTGCGTTATCGCCCAGCCGGCGAGTGGTCTGTGCGGCCCGCCCGACAGCAGCGCCAGCTGGTGTTCCAGCTGTTAGTGCTAGCGCATCTGGCCATCAAGTGTCCTGCCTCGACGCCAGCAGCAGCATCCAGTTCGGGCTGCATTGGGGTTTCGATGTTGGGGAAAGTTGGGATACAATTGCCAGTCATCCCCAGACCGCCCCGGGCATCCCGGATCGCATGCTGACCGCACCGGGCCGGCCATTGCCCGCCGGCATGTCCTGCCCATTGAACCTCTCTCTGAGCATCGCTAACACTGGGGACCCACCCCGCCGGTAGCCGACGCAGGGGCGGCTGTCGGGCAGCCCCAAGTCACGCGATGCCCTTCCTGCCTCGACTTGCACCTGAATTTCAGAGCTCTTCAGCTCTTTTCAGCACCTCCAAACCACCGACAGCCGCCCTTCGCCGCGCCGATCCACGGCCCATCACCAAACCATTTTGCAATCGCTTCGCCAATGCTGGTTGCGCAATCCAGGTTTCTGCTCGCCTAGTCGCCGACCATCCATCGCCATGCCCTCCCCGCCTCCATTCCATCCCCCTCCGCCAAAACACGACCCGAGAACGGACAGGCGAGAATGCGTCATTCGACAATTTGAGTGCTCCTTGCCCACTGGACGCCTGCCGTACCACGCTGCCCGGTTGCATTGCAGCAGCCACATTGCACATTGACGAGCACGCTCGCCCGCCTGCAGCCTCCCTTCCGCTTCCCGTCCGAATCCGGCTGAACAGTTGGTAATTTGTACCACCTCAGCACGGAGGAGGGGTGGCAGTCGTGGTGATGAAGCTGGGGGAGAGAGGGAGGCGGTCAACATCTTGCTTACATCTTGCCTGAGCTGCCATGCTTTGGGGTCGCCATGCAGTGTCCCCGTTTCCACGCTCGGCAGAGTTGGTTTGCGTCTGGGACATCTTGTTGGAGCTGGCCTCGCTGCTGGTCCTTGGCCCTGCAAGAAGATCGATCCCTCGCCCGGCCATCTCGGGCCATCAGGGTGCATGCACGATGGCGAGATCCTCGCCCAACTTGAGTCAAGTCGCGGCTTGGTCAACAGATCAGATTCGCTCCGCCTTGCCGAACGTTGCCCGCCTTCCCGCAGATCTTGACTGCATAGGCTGTCGGGCCAAGCGGCCGACGTGGTTGCACCTGGAAAATCTTGAAGGTGATCGCTGCGCAAACGTGTGGCCATGATCCCTCCCTGGCCGATGGCGACATTCTTGGCACAAACAGGCGAGATGCCCGTCGCCAATGCCTGACTCGCTCTCGCTTTCAGGAGGGGGCAAGCCCACCACAACCCACAGCCCACAGCCCACAGCCCACAGCCCAGGGCACTCACGATAACCTCGCCAACGGCTGCACCGGCCGCAATCAGTTTCAGGCTGTATGAGAGATTTCCGGTGAGTTTCTTACTTCCGTAGTAGATAACTTGCAAAGTGATATCGGGCATGGGTTTGGGCGTCGTGGTGGGAGCACAGCAATCTGAAGCTGGCACGACATCCTCAATTCAGACCAGCACAATGCTCCACCCCCTGCTCAACTTGCCGCCAGCAATTCCAAGCCCCTCCTTAACACACACCCACACATCACTGCGAAATCCTGTGCAGAGCAAACTCGGGCTTCCCATTCTCAACTCAATCTCAATCTTGTCCCCGTCCCATGTACTACCGAGTCCTACTCCGTACGCTGTGTCCAAAGTACTCGTTGCAACACAAGGAAACAGCCGTTGTGGTGTTGTGTTCCCACAACTCGGCCGTCAACCATCAACCCCCACCCCCACACTCAATCAACCCTGACCTCCATCCCACCCACCTCATCCCGCCGCGGTGGTCCAACCCCCAACCCTCCCCAACGCCCCGTAATCTGCCCAACACACCAACTGAACCCCGTTCCTGACAGCCACCCCACCCTCTTTAGCTCATTCTGGTGGTAGAGATATCGCAGGTATCTGAACATCCCGTGCGCTCTGCGGTGGGATGGACGCCGATTCATAAGCTCAGGCGGCATGAACCACCCGCGCTCCGAGACCATGGGGGGATGGGGAGGTGGCGCACTTGATTCAATGGGCATGGGAAGCATCTCGAAGAGATTCTGCACCTCCCGCCGCCCGGCTTGCTGCACGTCAATTTGGGCTGGCGGTGAGGCTGCGGGAGAAGCCATCATCAGCTGCAGGGGGAGACGTGGGGGTTGCGAGTCTAGATGAGTCTCCCCTATCCCAGCGCCATTTTCAAGCGACGACATTGGCCTGTAATTCGAGCCCTCCCCTTCAGTCGTGCATGTGATTCTGATGCTGGCTGGTCTCCTGCCCAGCTCGGATGCATTGATAAGACCTTGCTGGCGCGGCAGATAACCACCTGCCTGCGAAATCGAATGGCGGCAACATTCCCCAATTGGAGGGCATTGATGAGAGCTGCTTGTTGGGAACTGACATGGACGGGCTATGATCGCAGCAACATACCATGTAGAGAAGAAAAAGTACCTCCCGAGTTTGAAGTTTCATCTGGACTAGGTATCAAGAGTGTCGAATTACCCGACCTTCATGCATGATTCAAGACACAATATCAGGGCATCAGTTTGGAGACAACGGACAGAGCACCCTGAATAAAATGCCGAGGCAAATAATCAAGAAGAGAAGTTTCAATTCAATTAATGACACTTGATGGGAGCCGCCAGGGAGTTAATGGAGTCCCCCCCTTTGCCAGACAACGAGTGTAAAATCAAGCGTGACTTCTAGTCGGGACATCTTGACTGCGAGCTTGCGTTGATACTTTGTGTCCTCCCCAGCGTGAATTCTAACCAAAGCTAGGCCTCGACCGATTATTACAGAGTTGGAGTCGAGTCTGTCAACCCGCCCTAGAGGTAGTGAGCCTCGACCCCTCGAGTTATTGTATCTCGGATCAAAAAACTACGAGGCCAACATTCCAGTTTCATTTCACCCCCAACCAACCCTTCCTTAACACCGATGGTTGTGGTACTTACTGTTAAGCATCCAAAAGTGATTGTTTACAATGTCGCCCCGCTCCCTCTCAACTCAGGGGCAATGTTGACATCTCGCCACGAAGCCAAAACCTCGTACAACATCACAGCCTCCCAGCACTTAATCTCTTCCCACACTGTTCTTCCCCACGCCGCCGCTACAAGCTCATACTCCATCTCCTTGCCCTCTCACGCTCCACCCTTGACCAGAGCCCCGAACCCCGCTCGTGAAGCAACCCAAACCAAACTCCCAACTCCACCACGCCCTCCACGCCCATCACGGCAGTATCCCCACAGCCCAACCAATCAGCAGCGGGTTTAGCTCAGTTGGGAGAGCGTTAGACTGAAGTTGAAACTTCGGGAATCTTGTCATCTAAAGGTCGCCTGTTCAAGCCAGGCAACTCGCACTGCTTTTGCCTTTTTTGTCCGACATCCTTTTTGAAGCTTTTCGTTTTGGTTGGCCCAGCTTGAGTAAAGTCAGTTTCTTGTGCCCCCATCTCGCCCGCCCTCCACTCAGCCCAGCCCGATATTGACGAAACGAGGGTCTGCTTGTCGCACCGTTTCTGTGTCGAAGCCAAATGAATAAACAAGGGCTGACTGAGTGTCCTGTGTCTACTTTGTTAGTACTTGGTTGGTCCTCTGCGTTCTGTTTACTCGAACCCACCCCCCCCCACCCCTCTCCCTTGCCAGTGATCACAGCCGCTCACCGACCCAGTGGTAACAACCCGACAACGACGACTGCCAACGACCTCGTCAGGAACATATCCACTAGTGGAAACGCAGTCAGACAAGTAAGTTTTCACCGGGTATATTCCCCCTCTCCTTCACCCTCCCCCAATGCGTGCCAACCAACGCTACAATACGTACACAGCAGCATACACATATATACACAAAAGAAACCAACCCAGAACAGATACCCACCACCTTTCGAGAGCCGAGAATGAGATAGAACATAAAAAAAAAAATCAGGGGTCCAACCCGCTCCACCTAGAACCCCGAAAAGAAACAAAACCACAAAGACGAAGAGAACCGAAACGAAGACGAAACAAAATCGCATGCAATGCAATGCACCCCATCCCCCAATCCATCACCTATCCCCCTCTTGTTTATCCCCCTTATCCATCCTCCCCAATCCCGTCTCTCAGGACTGGCAATAGAACTAGGAGTAGTTTAGTCTCACCGCCTCCAGCAGCCTGGCGGCGGTCAATAGTAATAGCAGTAGTAGTGGCAGCATCAAGCATGCCCTTCCTGTATCAGCCGGCCGGTCCGGTCCCGTGTATCCAAGACCCACCCCCCTGATTTCTCCATCTACCGCCACGCCAATCACAAAGGAAACCAACCAAATCTACCGCTCTTCTCATCCCTCCCAGCACTCATCATCATATCAGCCAAAGGAGACGCACTCCTTAAGGCGGCAGCGGCTTCCCTACGGGCCCCTGCGCCACGGGCGTCGTCCCGTTCCCGTTCGGCTCAGGACGCGACTGTCCCCCCGCTAGGCTCTGCTGGCGCATGTGCGCCCCGGCAAACCCCTTCTCGGCGAACCCGGCGCGCCCCTCGCCGCTGTCCTCCTCCTCAAACACCTTGTTCTCCAGCCACTGGGTGGCCCGGGCGCACGCGGTGTCGACCCACTTCATCCAGGCCCAGGCGGCGGTGTACGTTAAGGCCGTGAACACCAGGATGGCCACCATCTTGTAGGGGCGACCCTTGGACTGCAGCCAGACCTGCTCCTGGCGGGTGCCGTCCTCGTTCTTGCCCGCCTTCTCCCACGGCTCGCCCGAGATACCATAGACGATCCAGATGCCGACGGTGCGCAGGATGGTGCCGTGCGTCAGGTAGACGGCGAACGAATGGTGGCCGAGCCAGATGAGCACGCGGTGCGAGAGGGCCTTCTGGAAGGCGGGCGACAGGAACAGCGAGATGGCGGTGCACATGATGAAGAACGCCGAGGTGCGCCGCTGGACATCGCTCCCCTTAGGAACGATGAAGCTGCCGCGACTCTTGTCGCCGGCCGGGTCCACCAAGAACTTGTGCAGGCTGTGCGACCACGGGGCCCAATCCTCGTGCTCGGCCGGGTACGAGCCGACGTAGCCGCCGATGAGCAGGATAAGGGGCGCGACGATGAAGGTGAGCACGCGCTGGTGGGCGGAGATAAAGTTTTGCGTCGGGCGGTGCTGAGCGAGCTCGGCGAGGAGGGTGCCGAGGGCAAGCATGGCGCCAAAGGTTTCTGTGCTGGTGTCAGTATGGTATGGGGGCGGGGTATCGAGTCCGGGAATAGGCCCCTCTCCGCGGGGGGGGCCAACTTTGGCACATACCTGTCAAGGCATTGACATTCATCAGCCAGTACAGAATCAGGAGAACGTGCACCAGCATGCGGTAGCGGAAGCGCATGCCAATGGTGGCGGCCAGCACAATGTAGACCTGGAAGGCGCCGATCAGCAGGGGGCGCATGGCCCACTGGTGGCGGTCAAACAGGTTCTCCGTGTTGGTCCATGTGGTCAGCGAGGTGCGGAACAGGCGCTGGACGTTTTTGCGGAAGGGCAGGGGGTCCGGGGCGTCGAAGCGGACCCAGTAGCTGTCGCAGTGGTTCGACGCCGTGTAAGCGCCCAAGCACGACAGGACGAAGCTGATCAAGGTGGCGATCAGGGCGGGCAGGATGAGGCGCGGGGGCCGGCGGAAGGCGCTGCGGGCGACCGACTTGAGGGAGGCCGGGGCGTTGCCCTGCTGGTAGGCGAGCTTCAGGGGCTTGTACGAGCACACGAAGCCCGTCAGGAAGGCGAAGATGGGCACGCCGATGCGGCCCTGCCAGGGTATGCGCAGGTAGGGTAGTTGCAGTAACCTTGGTGTGCCATTTTCTTCATCGGCGGGCCAAAACAGGGGGAAGTCGAAGGCTCGCGAGATGTGGGTGACGATGACGAGGACGGAGGTGACACCTCGGAGGCCCTGAAGAGCAAAAAAAACATGTCAGCGCGGGGGACGGTGGGAGGCGGCAGGGCTGGTGTGGCATGTGAAGAAAAAAGGTGACTCGTCGTCTTGTCGATGCGGACTGGCACGCGACGGGCGGTGCAGGACGCGGGGCGGGGGGCTGCAACGTACCTCAACCCACTTGATGTTTCGTTGACTGGGCCTGGCGCTCATGGTTTCTGTCCAATGTCCACCACCCTCGGGATCCAATGCTGCAGCAGGAGGCCGATGACAAAGGAAACAGGATAGGAAGGGGAAAGAGGTAAGAGCGAAGGTATGGCGCCGGCACCAGCGATGTTCGGGTGGGCGTCACGCGAGATGCAATCGGTCGGGATGTGGTGTCGAAGAGAAAGTGGCGGAGGATACCCAACGACGAAGCCGAGACAGATTCACCACGGCCGGATCCGAGACAGCGTCGACGACGTGGACGAGGGCGGGGAGGTTGTTGTCGGGGCTCGCCGGGAGCGGAGCGCAGCGGTCGGGGCGGACGTGTGTAATCGTCTTTTGGCTGCGTGTTCTGAGCGAATGTGTGTCGTGTCTGTCGTGTGTGATGCGGGATTCCGAGGCTGGGAACAGCTTCAGGGAGTAGACGACGACGACGGGGGCGGGGCAGCGGTCGGGGCTAAAGGCGGGCGTCGACGCTGGGAGCAGATGATGGTGGCAGAGGACGGTGGGGGACCGAGAATCGAAAACGACGCCGAAGTCATCGGGCGATGCGCAGGAGAGGAAGTCGGATTTCCTGGGACCTGAATCCGCCCTGTTTCCGCTTTTCGCCTTCGTGGAGCACGCGTGCCTCGCTCTCGTCTCGTCTCGCAACGGGCCGGGAGCAGATGCAGCAGGACAGGAGTCGAGGTTAGTACGCAGGGGGGGTGGGTTGCCGAAGGGGCGTGTGAAGGGTGGAGGAGGGTAGGGAGAGGTGGAGGTTGTGCGATTCGTTTGTTCGCTCGGGATGGCCGCCAGAGAAGGACGAGCGTGGGCGTGGTTCAACCTGGACGACGGTCCGCAACGGCGGGCTCTTGTGGGTGGCCCATGGATGGTGCCCTTGGCAGGCTCGGCGGATTGGACTGGGACTGGAGGGGATGGATGGATGGATTGGGGATGGGAGGGATGGGGAGGGAGGGGAGCATGAGCATCCAGGATGTGTGCATGGAGGGGGGAAGGCGGCGAGCCAAGAAAGCGGATTTTTTACAAGTATTTCCAGTGCCAGGCCATCGCCGACCTCTGCCAGCCATTGCCAGCCAAGAACGGCCCCCTTCCTGCCCTGCGCAGCGGCATCCAAGTGGCCACGCTGGGATGCGATTCAGAAATGCCAAGAAGGCCAAGACGCGCGGCTGGGGAACCGAGTCAGGGGTTGTGGGGAGACATCACACCCTCACTTTCCCGGTTCTCTGCTTGGGTCTGTGTGTCCCTGGGCCCCAAGCAACGGGCAGCCACAGGGAACAAACAGGAAGGCACGGGGAGACCCAAGCAGGCATGAGAAGCTAGAGAGGGGAGCAAGTGAAAGAGGCAACAATGAGAGAGAACAATTAGAGGGGAATAGAGAGAATGCGAGAGAGCGGAAGGCTGTCACAGAAACAAGAGATATTGGGCACAGCCCAACAGCCACGCCAACCGCCCCCTCGCTCAGCCTCTTCTCCTGGGGCGTGCAGCCAACCAACCCTGACCGTCAACTCCTGACCACCGACCTCCGCCGACTGTTACTAACCTGATTGTTGATCGAATGCCCACTTGGTTGCTGCCAAGAAGGCCACATCGTGTTAGCCAATTTGCCATCGGGCCCACGGCCGCGTGCATGCCGACATTTCAAGGCTGGCTTGCTTTGGCCAATTCCCTCGCCCTCTCAAGAGCCTCCTGCTTCCCTTGCCTTCCATCACCCGCCATCCTTGGACAGCCGCAACGGGTAGGGATGGGACGGCCGGGTACAGGTCCATATGAGGCGGTGCTGGCTGCCGGGCGCCGCCCACTCTGTCCCGTCTTGTCTCCCCAGTGTCGTCACTGTCGTCGCCGCGATTTGCGCTTTGCCCACCAACATCGCCCATGCGGCTGCGGAGCGGCATCCCTCCCCCTGTTTATCCCCGAACATGAATGGCTGGAACCAAGGCATGCCGCTGCCCGGAATGGGCTAGGCGGGCATGTTTCTGGCCCCATTTTTGTTGGCATGGGCTCCACAGGCCACGCAAGCATCCCGAAGCGATCGGTTGATGCAGATTGACGAAATTTGCTGGCCAGTCGTCGCCGCTCGAGGTTTTTGCTCGAGAGCTCGAGGGAAGACGGACCCAGGGGATTGGGACAGGAGAGCGACGATGACTGGCATCATGGTGGGAGGGGGTCAGGGGATGGGGGAGGAGGCTGGGCAGCTCGGGTTCAATTCACGATCGATCTGCTCATCCAACTCCAGCATCCTCATCAGCTACAGCCCATGCCACTGCATGGAACTTCGTCGAAC